ATCTGTCTTTTGTTGGCAGACAATGCTGCAATGAACTCTACGCAGCTCAATATATATTTTCAATTTTGATTATTTTGAGAAGTTCCTACAAGTATACTTATTCAGTCTCAGAATGTACGCATTTTAAGGGTTTTGATAGCTCTAAAATTCCTGGGGGTATCAATTTCTGTTCCTACCTGCAATGCCTGTTCCACTGAATCCTTGCCCAACACACATTTTCTTTTTAATCTCTGACAATTTAACAGGCACTTAATGTGACATTTACATTTACTAATAATTCAGCTGGATATGTGCATCTATAGCTCTTGAGTGTGTATGTTTCTTTTTTGAGACAAGGTCTTACTATGTTGACCAGTGCCCTGTTGGTCTCAAACTTGTGGAATCAAGTGATCTTCCTGACTCTCATCCTCCCAAGTAGTGGGACTACACCACTACACAGACTATATTTTGATATATTTTTGTTACTCTTTTGCCAATTTGTAATAGTTCTTTAATTCTGAACAGTCATGCCCACTTTGACATCCTCTTACCAAGTTCTATCTCCAATCAATTTATGTACTTGATCTATGGATCTCATTTCCTCTTGTTTATATATATATATATATAGTTGTTAATGGACCTTTATTTTATTTGCTTATTTATATGTGATGCTGGGAATCAAACCCATTGCCTCACACATATGAGGCAAGCTCTCTACCGCTGAGCTACAACTCCAGCTCCTCCTCTTGTTTCTTAAGGGAGTTAGTCAGTCAGTTATCCTCTTTTTTGGCAGTATCTAATCTCTTCCAGGTTACCAATTTTTTTCCTCTTGTATTAATACACATCAGTAAGTCTCTCTCCTATTCGGAAAAATTCCAATTTCTTTCTTTCACTTGCCATTCTCCTCTGGCAACTAACCTTCTTTTCCTTTACAGCTAAACTTCTTGAAAGATTTGTCTTCACATTCTGCATCCAAACTCACTGCGAACAGATTTACATTAAGGCCTCAATACCTTCTTGTTGCTAAGATTTTTAACATCACAATTAATATCATTCATAGATGAAAAAAGCAAAATGGTTTTCGCCAAGTCAATTTGACTATGTAAAAAAACAAAACAACAACAACAACAACAAAAAACAAACCTTAGGCAGAGAACAAAAATTGATAGGTAATACATTAAAAATTTAAGCTACTTCTGATAGCTGGATTACTGATAAATTATTTTTTTCTTTTTAAAAATTTCCATAGTTACAAAAACAAGAATAATTTACTTTCACATTAAAACACATTATGATGTAATTTAGAAATTCACTTTCTAAAAGGAAGCAGAAAACTAGAGAAAGGACAGGGAGAAGCCACTGGACTGCACTGCATTTCGCCTCAATAATCAAAAGAGGGCGCGACCCAGATTCCCACGTCCAGCACTCCCGCGGTGAAACGCGAGCCGGTAACCTCCCGATTGGATGATCTTCTTTGAGGAGGGCTCTCTTGGCCCTTTTGCTCATCCCTAAAGACCTTGAGCATCCCAACCTTTTCTGCTAAACGCTCCAAACCGCAGATAACTGTCATTCGCCTCCGGTTGCCCAGGTAACACCCACAACCCCATTCCCACCTCCTTAACTTTTCCCAGAATGCCTCACGCCTTCTCGCTCACTCACTTCCGGGGTCGGAGGCGTGACTTCTTCCGGAAGTAGATGCCTGTTGGTCTTCCGGGGGCGATTCCTGGAGGGCTGGGGTTATTATAAGGTGGATTCGTGGCGTATTCGTAGGAAGGGCGGCGGGTTACGTTTTCTTTCCTAACGTTGAAAGTAACTGGAAAGATAAGGAAACGTAATAATCTTTAGGAGCTTTGTTGACTCAATAAGTGGGTTAGGTGTTAGTTATTTTAAAAAGTGCATATTTTAGTTAGTTTGATTTAATCATTCCACAGTGTATATATATTTCAAAATACGTCGAACACCATATGTGCACTTTTTGTCAATTGAAAATTAGTTGAAACAGCATTAAATGTTAAACAGCTGGAAGAGGGTAAACACTTTAAAGTTATATGTAACTTCATTTGTTAATGAGATAGAATTGAACAACTTAATTTCCTATAAAAAGCATTTATTTTTGCTTTAGAAAATGAGGGCCAAATAAAAACTGAATTGTACTGAATGCCATGCTTTTTCCAGCAGTTTTACGACATCATAAATATTTTTGTGTCTTATACTGCTAATGAGTTCCATAAAAGAATTTTTAGCCCATAAACACATTTGTTCAGCATTCTCCTTTTGGCAATAGTAATTAGAATTTTTATAGGACTTTGCTAAAGTTCTTCTTGGTTGAATAGCTATTTTTAAAATATTAAACAAACAAATGAGGGCAAGCACCTGGCGCCATGGTGGTGCACTCCTGTACTCCCAGCTAGTCTGGAGGCTGAACTGGAGGCCAGCCTGTGTAATTTAGCTAGACCTATTTTGAAATAAAAAAAATGGCCAGGGGATATAGCTCAGTGAGAGAGTCCTTGGGTTCAATCCCCCAGTACTGAGATGGGGGGCGGTCAGATAAGAAAATGAAGACAACAAAACAAAACCCCAAGACAAGACCTTTAAATCTCATCAACTTAGAGACAACCACTTCGAACACTATGGAGTTTTCCACTACTATGCATATAGTAACTAAAAATTGAAAAGGCAATCACATTGTATGTACTGTTTGTAACTTGAAAAGCTTTTAATGAGCGTATTTTATTAAAAGGCACTCGTTTGCATTATACTTCTTATTGGACATTTGAGCATTTCTGTCCTTTTTTTGTTTTACTAAGTGCTACCATGGAGTAATGAAAAGTTTTATAGCTAAATCTGCCCACACTCTCATTTCTTAGTGGTAATTATTTTTGTCTTTTAAACTCATTTGTATTTGTACTTTCTTCTCTGATGCCTTCTTATTCCACCTGTGTGTCCTTATACTGTATGTGGATGAAGTTGGACATTTGGCATCCAAAGCCCACTCAAGTCTGGCACGGTGGCTCAGGCCTGTAATCCCAATGACTCAGAAGCTAAGGCAGGAGGATCACAAGTTGGAGGCCAACCTCAGCAGTTTAGGCCCTAAGCAACTTAATGAGACCCTGCTAAAAAAAATAAAAAGGGCTGGGGATATGGCTCAGTGGTAAAGCGCCTCTGGGTTGAATTCCCAGTACCAAAGCAAACAAACAAACACCAAAACCACCAAAACACCCCACTAATTAGAAAAGCATTTTTATGCTTATAATAGAATTGAGGAAAATTCAGAATAATATAATAAAAATTTTAATACTTATATGACCACTGGTATTTTGGTATAATTTTTTACTGTTACTTTAGTAGTGAGTATTGAAAAGTGCTAATTTAATGGCTCTTAATTTGCATGTTTTGCTTATTCATGTAGCTGAATAATCTTTTAAATAGTATTTAAAATGTTTACAGCTATAGTCCATTTTAGGCCCTACATTCTCTTTCCTTCAGTATTCCAAGTTAATCACACTGAATTGTAATGATTTAATTTTCTGTATGTGTGTGTTTTAGTTCTATAACAGGATTGAAAAGTGGTTGTGTGGTCCTAGATAAATTATTTTATTTTACAAAGGGAAGTACTCTTACCTGCAAATTAGAGATAATATTACATATTTTTGAAGGGTTGTAGTGAGGATTAGAAATAATGTATCCAAGGTGAGCTCAATAAACAGTATCTACTTTTTCTTTTTTCTTATAGCTTCAGAAATCTCTTCATAAGCGGTGTTCATGTTTTTATAATATTTTAAATGTGAGTAATGTTAGCATCCCACTAAATTTAGATATTTACTGAGCAAGTATGACACAAGGCACTGTTTATCTCAAGGTCTTGTGACCCTATATTATTTAGATATATTTCCTGTGTAAGTCTTAAGCTGCTCCTCACTTTCACCAGTTTTATTCATCTTTGTTTCCTTAGAAGGATCCTCTCCTCTCTCTCCCCTCCTTTCTCCTCCCCTCTCCTCTCTTCTCCCCTGGGTAGCTTACCATGGGGTGCTCCCCTACTGAGTTACATCCCCATCCTTTTATTTTGATACAGGGCCTCATAGAGTTGCCCAGGATGGCCCCTATTTGCAGTCCTCCTGCCTCAGTCTCCAGAATACCTAGGATTACAGAAGTGTGCTACCACACCCAGGTTGTTTCCTCAGGCTCTCCATTCTGCAGGCACCATTGTAGTGGCGTTAATTTAACGGGAAAAGAAAAACACACAAATTAGATAAAACCTGGCTTGTTGTGATGAAAGCAGTAACAGGTATGAAGTACTTTGTACTTTGGGAGATCTGGAGACATTAACTTAGATTAATATCTAAGACATGTTTTGACCTGGGCTTTAAATCATGGGGACTAAAAAAAAAAAAAAAAAAAAAAAAAAGGGCTTAAAAATAGGAGTAACAAGATGAGTTCGGGCTTGGAGGTAGAAGTAAACAGCGTTTTGTTATCTCAGAGTTATTTGGGGTGGCAAGAGAGTAGGGTAGATGAATGGGTCCAGATGAGCCAGAAAAAAAGGAGTTGGGTTCCACATCTTGAGGCTTTTGATGTGACAAATCATTCTTTGGAATCAAATGTTTGAAAATCAAGATTTTCAAACTCTCCTGAAAGGTACTGTTTTCAATATGGTCTGGGCATGGTTTGGTAGAGTGGATCAGAGGGACCGCAGGAGTCAGAAAAGGTGGACAAGAGCTAGCAACTGGCCTTTCCTTGGGCAAGGTAGGGAGTGGGAGGATTGTAGAGGCCTTCAGCGGCAGAAAGGGACTTAGTGACCAGTGTTGGCCAGGAAGAGAGGAAGGAGGCAGGAAATCCAGCAGTTCTGCAGAAAACTTCATAAAGGTGCTTTTGGGGACCAGCCACCTACACCGAGGGGCAACTGCGAATCGTGAGTAGCCGGAGTGCTGCCTGGGAGGGCAGCCGTCAGTCCCAGCTCCGCCCACCTGCACGAACCTCTGGCCGCGCGTAGGGCCTCTCGCCCCGCCCAGAGGCTGTAGCCACGCCCCGCTGGCGTCCCTTTCCGGGCTCAGCGACCCTGCAGCCCAACGTCCACCGTCTGCTTAGCTGCTGGTTGGCTCTGGGGAGGAGGGGCCCGGACCGTGGGGTTGGTGGGAGCGAGGTTACCTTTTCCTGTATCACACCGGAGTTGGATCTGGAGGAAGCTGCTGCAAAGTCTGCAGAGGCATGGCGGGAGCTYCGGACCAGCGCCAACCTGGCCCCGCAGCAGGGGAGCAGCTGCAGCAGCCACAAGTCTCGTGCCAAGTCTTCCCAGAACGGCTGGCCCAGGGGAATCCCCAACAAGGGTTCTTTTCCAGCTTCATCACCCATAACCAGAAGTGCCAGCAAATGCTCCTGAAGACGGTGGAAACAAGTAGGAGCAGTGACCTGGAGGCTGGGGGTCTGCGGGGTGGTGTCTGACATCGAGTGGGCGAGGAGGGGGCCTGGACCCTTCTCAGCCGGGGAGCTTTAGTTCAGTCTCAGTCGCTGCCGGTTTCAGGCACCTCTGCGCAGAGTTTAGGAAGATCYAGCATCTTGAGGGCGGAGACGGGGGCCGAGACCTTAATTTCCACATCAGAGGAGGTGCTGAGGCCTCGTTTGGTACTACTGTTGCTTGTGGGATGAACAAAAAGTTGGGCTAGGAGTTTGCCCTTTTTGGTCAAGTTCAGTGATTTCTTATATAAGTTATGAAATAACAGGGAGGCTTTATGGTCAGGGTGAGGTGGGGTTTAAAAGAGCCCCGTTAATTAAGGCATTCTTTTTTAAAATTTTTAAAAAAATTATTGGTTGTTCAAAACATTACAAAGTTCTTGACATTTCATACATTTGATTCAAGTGGGTTATGAACTCCCATTTTTACCCCGTATACAGATTATTGTTGGCAGTGCAAAACCAGTTTTGCAAACCTGCTCTTCATTGTGAGGGTTTCTTAACTTCAAGCATTGGTGGGCTACCACGCATAGAAACCTTGAAAAATTGTGTGTATATACACCTACATGAAGTTTTTTGGGGAGAAAGTTCATAGTTTCATCACATTCTCAAAGAGGCTCATGGATTCAAAAAGATTAAGAACTACTGCTGTGGATTAAATAGGGAAACCCACCGAGGCATGTCTCTCAGTCCCAGAGATATTGCACTAGAGAAGATTTCTTAACTCCTTTGCATTGAAATAGACTTCCCAAGTCTACTTAAGATAGGTTTAGTAAAGTTTTAAACATACTTGTCCTATAGCAAGGTTACTGTTAAACAGCTGGCCAGTCAAAAGTAGACTTCCCAAAGATTTTCCAGCCTTTGGATTACTTGCATATAGTGAATCAAAGGAGATGGGAGGATGAAAGGAAGGGAATGATAATGACATTATATTTACTTTATAAATGTGAACTGAATGCTTCCTAGTATGTGTGGGAAGAAATACAAAAAGGAGTAAGGTCCCTACCTTTAAGGCATTTACAAGTGGAATATAGTAGAAAGAACCTGGGCAGTAAAGTTAGATATGAGTTCAAATTCTGGTCTTTCTTTTAAGTTTGTATGGAAGAGTGACTTAACCTGTCTTATCTGTAACAAAATAAAACAAAATAAAAAAAGCCAAAAGGGATGAACAGATAATCACACCTCTTTTAGGGTTGTGAGGAATAGATTTGAAGAAGGTAAAATGCCAGCATATCAGGAGCTGAATAAAGGGTAGCTTTCTTACAGCAGAAGAGCCAAATAGTGGAGGACAATTTAGGATAGGATGTGAGGAAGTTGGGGTGCTGACCATGATTCCGTGCACCTCAGCCTTCCAAAGAGAAAGCCCTTAGTTGCTTGAATAATCACTTAAATATGATGCCTGGCATCTGGTATATACTTATTTAGTAATACTTATTATTAGTAGTAATATTTCTGTTAACACTGAGAAGAACCAAGTTAGTAAAGCAGTAAGCTATACCTTGCTACTTTTCTTTTACTCACCTATTTTTGCATTAAACATTTTTTTACTCCCCCCCCCCCCCCCCCTTCCTGTACATTTATACTCAGACAAGATACGTGCATGCAAAGTGTGTATTAGAGGCATCTGGGTTCATTGTATTTTCCAGGAGTAGTCACAGGCTAAAGTCTTAAAAGGCCCTCAGGAATCATTTAGGATTCTCACTCCCATACAGGAAAACCTCTGTTCCATCACTGTCCAGATATCTATATATCTCTCCTGGAACAGGTTACCTGTTTTGGGAGGCACTCTCGGCTACTTGTCTGTTGTTTCCAACTTTAATTGTTGGAAAAATCCTTTCTCATGAGCTGAAATCTGTCACATGTGACTTTGGTCCTCATGCTACTTTTTGAAGCATATTGACTGAATYATCTCCTCATGACACCCTTTCAATACTTGAACCTCTTGTGGTCCTAATTAACTCTTTTTTTCTCTTTCCAAACCCTCAAATCCTTTAGTGCTTCTTGGCAAGCACAGCCCCCCACTATTTTAGTTGCCTTCCCCCRTGGGAGAGCTTCAACTGGTGAGTCCCATTTGGAGTGTGGAACTTGGAATGGGACCTTGTGTTACCAGTGCTGTCTGGTCAGCACAGAAATAGTGTAGCTATGTCATTCTTCATATCTGGAAATTATGCAATTGATTCTTTCTATGAATGTGGCTCAAGATTCCTCCACTCTTTTGGTATACACTGTAATTCTAAATGTTTGATCATTTAACGGAAAATGACTTTTTTTTTTTTTTTTTGGTACCAGGTATTATTAACTCAGGGGCATTTGACCACTGAGCCATATCCCTAGCCCTAGTTTGTATTTTATTAGAGACAGGGTCTCACTGAGTTACTTAGTGCCTCACTAAATTACTGAGGCTAGCTTTGAACCTGTGATCCTCTTGCCTCCACCTCCCAAGCCGCTGGGATTACATGTATGCGCCACCATGCCTGGCCTACAAATGACTTTTGACACTGTTTAAGATGCTTGATGGTACCACCTTCATGTTTGTATTAGTGTTTTATTTAATTAAAAGTTTGCTTTGAAGTTAATTTAAGTTCACATTTCTATGCTCATTTTTTTTTTGCCAATTTTCAGATGGTATGATTTCCTTGTGACTTGTGAATTACTTTTTTTTAAAAAATATTTTTTAATYGTTGTCAGAACTTTATTTTATTTATTTATTTTTATATGGTGCTGAGAATTGAACCCAGTGCTTCACATATGCGAGGCAACTGCTCTACCACTGAGCCCCAGCCCCAGCCGTGTGAATTACTTTTTGATAATCTATTTCTATTTGGATAATTTAATTGGTGCTACTTTTCCAATTAGCATACTTAATTGAACCAATATCTTTTTAGATCCATATGTCAAACTTCTACTTGATGCCATGAAGCACTCCGGTTGGTAAGTAATTCTTGTTTACTTTAAAAAAATTTTTTTAAATTTTGAGACTGGGTTTTACTGTGTTGTCCAAGTTGTCATCCAGGTTGTCCTGAAACTCATGATCCTCTTGCCTCAGCTTCCCAAGTAGCTGGGATTATAGACATGTACCACTGTGCCTGGGTAATTAAATCTTTTAAAAGTGCTGTTCTATATTCTGACTGCCAAAATAAAAAAAAACCGAAAAGCTTTGAGCTACTTCARATTTCTGACTTCAGATCATGAAGACTTTTTCATGGATAGTGATTGCCGTATTCTCTCAAGGCAAGCCTGGCTCTTCAGCTGTTTTTTTGACCTAACTCAGTCTCTGGCTCTATTATTCACCTTGGAGATTTAGTAAATACAACGTTCAAATCTTTCTTTCTTTCTTTGGTACTAAGGATTGAACCCAGAGATGTTCAATTATGAGCCACATCCCCAACCCTTTTTAAATATTTGTTATTTAGAGACAGAATCTTGCTGAGTTGCTGAGGCTGGCTTTGAACTAGTGATCCTCCTATCTCAGCCTCCCAAGCTGCTGGGATTACAGGAGTGTGCCACCACACCCAGCCAAATCTTTCTTGTTAGTAATCTTTCTGGCCTTTTCATTCCACCAGCCTAGGCATTGTCCTTAATGGAGGACAGAGTGTTCAGAGTGTTATGTAGGAGTCTTTTATAGGTTTAACTTTGAGGGGATTAGAAGAAGTAACTTCTGACTTCAACTTAACATTCCAACCAAAGGCAGGAACTTCAGCATATTTCCAATAGTCTTTTTTTTTTTTTTAAAGTGAAAAGGTTTACTTTCTTTATTTTATATTATAATATAATATTTTATATTAAAATAGGAAATACATCACATATCACAGTATCCAATTCAGTCAACCAAATGCTTTATGGGATCACATAGAATTTGAATGAGGATCAGTTTGGCAGATAATCTCCCTATTTTACAGGTGAGAAAATTGAGTTCTGTAGGTATTAAATTGCTTTCCCAAGGTTTCACATCTGTTGGTGGCAGAGGGGATTTCCTGTATTTTGGAGGTTTCTCCAAACTTCTGGTCCAGGGCTATTTCCCACATATAAACTTCTCTTTTATCTGTTCTTGCCTTTTAGTGCTGTAAACAAAGAAAGACACTTTTCTTGTGAAGATTGTAATGGAAATGTTAGTGGAGGTTTTGATGCTTCAACATCTCAGGTCGGTATCTTTGTTTTCTCTCCTTTAATCCTTTCTTATATTTTTCTGAGCACTTTCTACATTCTGAATATTCTGTTTCATAGATTTTGTGTAGGTTTTTAAAAAAGTTTAAGTCATGGTCCTTCCTCTTAAGGAGCTTATATTCTCAGAAGAGATAAGACACAAACAGATGATTATAAAATTTTAGGCAGATTCAACTATTTCAGGTAGGCCTGCTRTGTTAGTCAGCTTTCCATCACTATGATAAATACCTGAGACGATCATCTTATAAGAAGGAAAGGGTTATTTGGTTCACAGTTTCAGAAGTTTTAGTCCTTACTTGCTTGGCTCCCCATACCTTTGGATTTATGGCAAGGCAAGGCAGTACATCATGGCAAGAGTGCATGACAGGAAATTGCTCATCTCATGGTGGAGTAGAAGTAAGAAAGAGAGACAGTGAAGGGTCAGGGTCTCAATATCCTGTTCAGGTGCACAGTCACAAAGACTTAACTTCTTTCTCCCATGCCCCGTATCCTAAAGGTTCCACCACCTTCCAATAGTACATCAGGTTAGAACCAAACCTTCAACACGTGGGCCCTTGAGGGACATCAGATCCAGGCTGCAGCACTTGGTACCACAATGGAAAGTGATGATTGGCTGAAAAATACCAAGGGATTGCTACAGGATATAAAGCTTCTTCAGGGGCAAAGACTCAGAGTTGTAGTAACCTGAGCATAAGTGGTGTGCTGTGAAATCAGCAGGCATGTTGGGCAATGGCATGTGGTCTAGTTTAGGTGGAAGGCAGGAACGTGGGCGTGGGGAGAAAGGGGAAATAGAATTGGAAAGAATGGTGAGCTAAATATAAGGGTTACACCTTAACATGGTGAGAAGTGATAACTACCTATGGAAGTTTCTGATCCGAAGTAAGTTTTCTTAAAGTTGCTTTTCATGGTGCCTGGCCCATAGTGAGTATTTAATGTTTCATTGTTAGTTTTAAGTCCTTGAAGAGTTTGACAGTCTTGAAGGTGGTAAATGGGTTATGTCATATGATGATTGTAGGTAAAGGTGTTATAAAAGTAACTATTTCCAATTGTATCTGTAATCCTCATTTAACTACTCTTAACTGTTTTGCTGGTGAATTTCATATGTATTTTGGTTATTTGTAATTGTTGTATAGTAATCRTGGGAAAAGGCAGAATAGTTCAAGGGAGAAAATTTTGGGTTTTGGCAAGTTATTTTTATTGTTCTTGGGCAAGTTTTTTCTTATTCTCAGTTTCCTCATTTGTAATTTGGTATTCACAATACTGACAAGTTTCAAAATGGCTCTTGGTGAGTTCATCTGTTGCTTCACTCTGGGGGTTAAATAGTGTGGACCTTTTGAACTTTCACATTAACTTTTTTTTTTTTTTTTTKTTCCAGGGGTTGAACCCAGGGGTACTTAATCACTGAGCAACATCTCCAGCCCTTTTTATTTTTTAATTTTGAGGCAGGTCTCACTAAGTTGCTTAGGACCTCACTAAATTGCTGAGGATGGCTTTGAACTTGCGACCCTCCTGCCTCAGCCTCCCCAGCCACTGGGGATTATAGGCACAGGCTGCCACACCCGGCTTCCSTTTTTGTTTTTTAAATTAAATTTTTCATTCATATAGAAGAGTAAAAAACCTGTATGTCCACTTTCATTAATAAAAGAAACAGCTGTACAACTGCAACCCAGATTTGAGAAGCGGGACATCACCAGGATTTTAGAAGCCTGTGTGCTCATCTTTAACCACATCCCTTTATTCCTTACCCTGAGTTTTGGAAATCATTACTTTTCTGAATGTTTTACCATGTACATATACAGATTAGAAATGTACTGTTCTAGATGCCTGCTTTTGTGCTTTGTATCTAGAATGCTTTGAGTTCTATGTAATACTTTGTAGTTTTTTTTTTTTTTTCTAGTACTGTGTTTGAAACCAGGGGTGTTCTTACTACCAAGGCTACACCCCTGGCACTTTGATTTTTGAAACAGATTTTGGGTAAGTTGCTGAGACGGTATATGTACATGATAAAACACTCAGAAAAATAATGATTTCCAAAACTCAGGGTAAGGAACTTGTGGTCCTCTTGCCTCAGCCTTCCGAGTTGCTGGGATTTAAGGCATGTGCCACCACACCCAGCTTTATGAAATCTTACAGTAGATTGTTTTCTGTAAATCAATTCTTTAGTTTAACATTGTGAGATTCTTCCACACTAAATAAACCTCTCTGGTTTATTTTATTATCTGTAAAATATGGGTAATTATTATATCTATCTTATAGAATGATTTTGAGAATTAAATGAGATATCTCTAATAAAGTTGCTTATCATGGTGCGTGGCCCATAGTGAGCATTTAGTGTTTCAATGTTAGTTTTAAGTCACTTTTATATAGTATTCCACTGTGTGAGTGTTACAGTTTATCCTAATATTGATTGTTTCCAGTTTTGTTGTTATGAATGATGCTGCTATGAACATTTTTACCTTCTGTCCTAATGCTCATCTGCAAGAGTTTCTCCAAGATACAAGCCTTAGAGCATAATTTCTGGGTCTTGGAATATATATACACTGGACTTTAGCTGGTCATGTCAAATACTTTCTTCTCAGGGTTTCRTATACATAACACTCTTTGGTTACTCTTTTGATACGAAACCCTTCTTCTCGTCATTAACTATTGAAGTCCTTTTATCCTTTGTGTACTTACTTTTTCTTACTTTGTATTCTGCCAAGGGTATCTCATTAATTTTTCTAGGTTAAAATCTCTTTCGAACTCCACATTCATGTATCTAAGTGCCCACTGAACACTTCTCCGTGGATGTCTTAAAGGCAAATTAGACCTGACATGTCCAAGTTCAAATTCATGATTTTTGCATTCTTTGTCACCACCCAACCTAATTTTTTAAATTTTGCATATTTCATTTGTTTGGTCTTTTAGCTTTTCATATTTCAGTGAATGGTTCTACCATCCATCTTATTACTTAAGCCAGAAATTTATGGATACTTTTTATTCCTTCCTCATCTTCTACCCATCACCAAATTTTGTCCAGTTTGCCTCCTAAATTCCTCTTTTAGTCTTACCATTCTAACTCAGGTACCCCATTCTCTGACTCTTGCCTAGAATATTTCATTAGCCTAGAAGTAATTTCTCTGCATCCAGTTTTGTCATCTTCTGCTGCTTCATCCAAGTATAGTAAAAAGGATAAAAACAACATAAAACAAAAGCAGTGGTCTATGTCAGCTCTCCCCCTCAGTGGCTTCCCATTGTTCTCAAGATAAGACAGGGGAGTCTTTTGGTCTCTGCCTTCCTCACCAGCCTCATCTCAGGCCTGCCATGGCCGGCTCTGGGCTTCAGCTCTTTGCCCTGCTTTCAGTTTTCAAATATTCTGTGCCTTTAAACAGACTAGATTACCGTATGTTCTTTCTCACTGTATGTTCTCAGAACAACCTGAGTTTTTCTTGATGACAACTGTCATTCATGTTTTTAAATATTTTGGTAAGTATTTTATTAATTTCTGTGTATTAGTAGACTGTGAATCTACTATTAGGTCTTAATAAATAAAAAATTTTAAATGAATATATAAAATTTCTGGTACATATACTAGTGTCTAGTATTTAGGAAGTGCACAATAAATGGTGTGTCATTATTGGCTCTCTTGTGTCTTATTCTTACAGAGTCCTGCTCAGTGTGCTATTTGTGAAGATCTTTTTGGGAATTTTTCCTGGCATTTTTTTTCTTATTCTAATAGAATGAGGACAACGGTGTTCATTTATTGTTCAGAAATGTGCTAAGAACTATTTTAGATATATTCTTGTTTAATTCTCACAATTCAATGAGGCAGGTACTGTAAATGATCTCCTTTTTATAGTTGAGTAAATTTGCCCCAGTTTACCAAGTTAGCAAGGACTGGAGTTGGAATTTGAATCTGTCTCTTTCATTCCAAAGTCCAGTCGTAACCACAGGGCTAAGATAGCTCAGTGAGGACTCTTATGGGAATAAATGTCCTTGACCCAAGTGCCATTGTGATCCCGAGAAAGGAGAAGGGAGAAAATAGTTATAGRGAAGGCTAATAGAGCATGCACGTTGAGGACTGGGACTTGACAAGGAGCAGGTGTGGGGTTGGTGAAGAAGAGTAGCCAGAGGCATTCCAAGCAGGTGAGTTCACAGGATCATGTGGGAGGTAAGGTAGAATCTGTGGAACGAAAGTAGATTTTAGAAATACGTGAACTTCTTTTATTTTGGTGTCTTCTAGATTGTTTTGTGCCAGAATAACATCCGTAACCAGGCCCACATGAGCAGAGTGGTCACCCACGAGCTCATTCACGCATTTGATCATTGTCGTGCTCATGTCCACTGGTTCTCTAATGTCAGGCATTTGGCCTGCTCAGAGGTGAGTTTCACTGTAGAAGACACTTACATTTTTTCCCCAGAATACTCTGTGCTTTACATTTTATTCAGTATAATTTGCTTAAACTTACTGCTTTTCTTATTGTCACAGTTCTACTTTAGTCTTGAATTTCTATATTTATATATAGAATATACATATAATCTATATTTAACTAATAAATATAATTTTTGAGGTACAACTAGAGAAATTTTAAGTATATTTTAAAGTGGTATTAAATATAACTTAAGGCCCAATAATAATGATGACTGACTTTAATTATAACAATAAACCATTTTTTCCTATGGAATAAGTTATATAACATTAAATAATATAATATTTAACATTTACTGAGGGCTACATGCCAAACACTATTCTGTTTGAATGGATTCTTATTTAATCTTCGCAACAACCTATCAAGGAAGATATTCTTATTATCCTTGCTTTACATAAGTGGAAATGAAGCATTTGTTTAGATTCGTAGTTAGGAAGTGGCAGAGGCAGGGTTTCAACCAGGGTTCTTAATYAGTTTGCCGTGTTAACACATCTTCCATAGGTAAAGTCCTTGCTTGACCTAGAATAAAACATTTAGTTTCAAATATATAACATAAAATATATTTATTCATAAGCACTTTGGATTCCTTTCACATGTATACACACATATGTTCCTAGAGAGATGTGTATTCCATACTACTATTTTATTAATTGAAGAGGGCATTGTAATGAAAAATTAAAAAAAAATTCGTATCAATCTCAAGCTTACACTTTACAACTTAGATTATTTTTCTTTCCCATGAAATTAATAAGTGACCCCACTGCATCTAATTATATATAATTCATATTATTTGGAGAGTAGATTGAAACCTGAGTTTTTAAATAGCTCTCTATCTTGGGCATTTAATGCCTATTAGCTAGTTAAGTGTGTTAAGCTCCTTGGGGAATGAAGCCATTCTCTTTGCAATGAATTAGCAAAAATGTTGCCAGAGGCTGTGGAACCTATGTGGGTAGTTCCAAGACTTTTAAAAAAAAATCTATTGAAATGTAGCAAATTAGAAAATATGTTCTAACTGCAGTCTGTCATTTTCATAGCATGACTGCTTTTGAATGTTCTTGGTTCTTTGTATAAAAAATGTTTTTAATTCTTTGTATTAATCTTTCATAGTTAAGTCAAGGCCCTGGAGAAATGTCATGATAGGGGATCTAGGGAAAGTTTTCCCCCATGTGGACTTGGGCTGGGAGGAGACCTATGATCAAAGATATGTCTTAGATACCAGTGTATCCAGTTTTGAGCTCACTTTGCAATTTGGTTCGTAGATCAAAATACTCTCTTGAAGTCCTTTTGGTAGTTTCTAGAAGTGCTTATATCTTATAGAGATATGGACTTTAAGCTATGGGATAAAATTTAGAAAATTCCCTTTGGTAAGAGAATGAACTTTTCTCCAACCTCAGTGTATTTGATGTTGTCTACTATAGGTCACAAATGTGTGCTTTTGTTGTTAATAAAGAAAATTCTTTAAAAGAAATACTTAACTCTATTCCTAGAAAAACATGCTAATTTTATATTCTTTCTCAGTTTTAAAAAATTGTTTGCTATCATAAAAACACAGGGCATGAGCATTTATTTTCTTTTTGTTTGCCTTTTTTCTTTGTGATAGGTTCGAGCTGCTAACCTTAGTGGGGACTGTTCACTTGTAAATGAAATATTCAGGTTACGGTTTGGATTAAAACAACACCATCAGGTAAAAACTAACATGAAATCACCTACCCTCAAGAGTATTAGGATTGGAAATAATGAATGAAAAAATGAAGTACATTAGTATTTGAAATTTGAAAGAACTCCTTATTGAAAAGCCCATTTAACTGAGTAGATGGAATTTACTTCTGCTTTACAATTACAGACAAACTATGTATCTAGGAGATATTGGTAGTGAAAAGGGCTTTGCTTTTGCCTCTAGGATACTTTTGGATGGGGGTAGATGAAGAATAGAAGGAAACCACAGCCTGTCTTTCATTCTAAAGTCCTGCACTTACATTTGGAAGCTAACACAGTATTCTGGAGACAAATTATAATTCCCTTCAGAACAGACTGCATGGGTAAGGATCAGTGCCCCTGATAGTTRAGTCAAGGCCCTGGAGAAATGTCATGATAGGGGATCTAGGGAAAGTSTATTTTTAAAATCGTGTGAGGAGGCAGTATAGAGCTCAAGGATTGATAATGGAGATGAGAAGTTCTGCCCACAGCTCTCAAGGCTGTGTCCATGCTGGGGAGAAAGACTGGTTAGAGGTTTTCTGTGAGAAGAGCTTGTTGGGCTGATTTGTGAAGTTAGACTCATCAGGATAGCAGTTTCAACCAGATATAAAGAGGATAGGCTTGGAATGACAGAGAGGCCTTTGGTTTCCAGAGGAAAGAGCAACTCAACTCTGGAGTGGAGGGGTGGAAAGTCATGGCAAATTATTAATAGAAATTGTGAACTCAGTGAGCTGGAAGACAAGCCTGATGCTTGGAGAGAGCAGTTATTCTGAATGGATTGATTGGACCATTAGGCTTCCAGTCAGTGCCAAGTCAACCCAGTGTACCTACTAACTGGTCATGCACCACATGTCTCTTACCCACTTCCCTGGCAAATTCTCTGTGTCACTGTCAGTGGAGAGAATGGAAGCAGGGTGTACATTAGCATATCCTAGAACTAATAAGAAGATAATGTGATTAAAGCATGAGCTCTGGGTCCACGGTCTTTTTTTTTTTTTTAAATACATTTTTTAGTTGTAGTTGGATACTATATCTTTATTTTGTTTTTATGTGGTGCTGAGGATTGAACTCAGAGCCTTGCACATGCTAGGTGAGTGCTCTACCACTGAGCCACATCCCTAACTGGGTCCACGGTCTTTGAAAGAGAAGTCTCTYCCCCTTTTTACCATTGAATAAAAGAAAATAAACAGAAAATAAGTAAAACTAGCAGCAGGTTGGGAGACAAGTGGAAGTAGTAGACCCTGGTTGAGGGAATGGAATCTCTGCTTCTGAATCCAAGAAATGGAAACAGTAGGTCCTGTAACTGACTGTAAGATTGCACAGTTATACTTTTATTTTGATAGAAATTTATTACATGTAGAAAGAAGTAAAGCTAAATTGTGGTTTACATTTGTGTCTTCCAACCATTTGGCTTCAGGAGACAGATTTTTTTTTTTTTTCTTTTGGTTCTGGGGATTGAACTCAGGGGCACTTGATAACTGAGCTGCATCCCTGCCATATTTGTATTTTATTTAGAGACAGGGTCTCACTGAGTTGCTTAGCACCTTGCCATTGCTGAGGCTGGCATTTAACTCCTGAATCCTCCTCCCTCAGCCTCCCAAGCTGCTGGGATTATAGGCGTGCACCACCATGTCTGGCAGGAGTCAGATTTTTAGTTCTTTTTTTTTCCTCTAGAAAGAGAAATTTCCTCTCTCTGGCAATTGCTGTTGTGGCTTCATATGGTTCGTTTGTTTTCTTGTTCTTTTATGCATGGCATTTATTTTTAAAATCAGCGTTTGCTGGATGCAGTGGCTCAGGCCTGTAATCCTAACTACTTGAGAGGTTGGGGCAAAAGGATTCCAAGTTTGAAGCCAGCCTGGGCAACTTAGTGAGACACTGTCTCAGTATAAAAAATAAAAAGGGCTGGGGATTAGTTCAGTAGTAAARTGTCTCTCAGTTCAATCCCCAGTACCACCAAAACATCATCAACAACAAAAACAAACAAACAAATCAGTGTTTGGTGTTAACTTGGGTTGAGAAACACTGGTTTATATTCCAGTGCTAATTCCAGTTTAAGCATGTAGACCAAGTTAAATTAGAACTGGGAAAACACAGAGAAAATTGGTGATTGTCATGATGCACAGCCATCAAATCATGTTTTGATTATTTTTTTTAGGAAATGATCAAAAGCTATTCTTTTAGTTTTGGACTGGAGTAGAAAAAGGTGAATTAAAAGCTCTCCAAGAACTGGAACAGCAGGCTCTTATATTTCTTAAAATATAAGTTAGAAGGTTGAAAAATTCTAGTCACTTACTGTGTAACATTAGGTAAATTATTTTCTTGGGACTAGAACTTTAATACTTATGCAAAGAACAGACAGGGAAAAAAAGTTTTGTTTAATTTTTGTTTCTGTCTAAAAATTAAGGCACTTTCCAAGTTTGGATGTATATGTGTGTGATTTTCTATTGCTGCCAGGGAAGAGAGTGCCCTTCTTGAAGGAAAAGTTAGCTAGCATTGGTCAGCTGAGAAGGAAGAGAGGTGAAGATGTGAAGTATATTTTAAATGTAATTAAATTTTATGGAAATCAATTAGGACCTTGCTTGTAGACATTTTTTTTAAAGTGTGTGATTTTGAAAATTGGGAATTACCATTTAGCAAACGTTGCCTAAAACTTCAGAGAATGACATCTGCTTATATTATTGGAAAACATGAGAACATCGARGTCTGTCTTATGCCTAGAAGATTTTAAGTCTGGCTAAACATTTTCCATAATTTGAATTACATTTCTGTGTTTTCTTCTTTTGAATGACAAATTAATAAAGTAATATGAGAGTAAATTAATTTTAATTGTGGTTCAGACATTATATAAATTGATATTTCATGATTAAATTTCACATAAAATGAAGGCCACATACTTTTCTTTTTCCTTAGACTTGTGTGCGAGACAGAGCAATTCTTTCTATCCTGGCTGTTAGGAATATCAGCAAAGAAGTAGCTGARAAGGCTGTTGATGAAGTTTTTGAATCTTGCTTCAATGACCATGAACCTTTTGGAAGGATCCCACATAATGAGAAATATGCAAGATATGCTCATAGAGACTTTCAAAACCGGGATCGATATTACTCAAATATATGAATGACATTTTATATTACAGAGCTTCAATCAGCATGAAGAAAAAAATATGGTTCTCAAGAAAACAAATGTACAAAATATAAATGATCAATTAAATACAGATGAAATGCAGAAGATATTTTAATATATGATCAGAAAGAGTAACAGGCAAAAAATGAAATTGTTTTAAGCCACAAGGTTAAAATTATGTCTTTGGAGTTAATCATTTGCTAATTAGGATGAATAAATTACATTTTGTATTTTCTACTGTATATTTGTATTTTTTAATATTTTATTTATTATTTTGATTTATTTTTATTACATGAGATTATTTTAAAATCTGATTATGAAACCTATGAAGTATGCCCTTGTCTGATGTTGATAGGGGATCAAAGTTGATATTTACATTAAATGTAAAGAAAAATGAACTGATCTCATTGTAGGACATTTAAAAAAATATTGTCATAATTAAAACATGTAAAGAATTAAAGTTGAGAATAACTCATTCAATGGTCACGCCATTTTCTCTCCACTCTTTCAGTATGCATGTGAGCTACCATGTGGCTTAATTTTCGGAGGATAGTCTTGATTAAATATTTTTCAGTAAGGTAATGCATTAAATTTATAATGCAGTCTAGTTTTCAAATGATCCTTTTCAAATCTTGTTAGGCCCTGTATCTGAATTTTGAATTCAGAAGACACTGTCAGCTTATCTAAAACCCTTACCAAAGGCATCACATGCATATTTCACCTGCTCCTGGCAAATATCACTTAGATTTCACTTAGATTATGTGCAGACTGAAAAGATGGTGATGCTTATGTGTAGATGTGGCTTGAAGAGAGTGAAATATGCAGGATTCTATTTTTTTTTTTTTTTAGAATTTAAAATCTATTTAGATACAAATTTTAACAATGCATCAGTGTTCTGAGCGTGCTCCAAAGATGGAAGGTTCCTTAAGCTGAAACATGGGGTTTCTTTAGTTTGAAGAAGGTAGTATCTGAAGGAGGTAGCTATGGGTGGAGTTTTCTGTCACCCAAGATGGAGTGATAGTTTGTCACTCAAGAGGGAGTGAGTCCTTCATCCTCCTACTCATGTCTTTCTATGTACTTACTCTAACAAAAGGAGCAGTGTTTTGTTGTTGTTGTTGTTACTGAAGTGAATGTAGTGTAAATTCAAATCAGAGTGTTATAATTTTAGGATGCTAATGTAATCTCCATGGTAACCACAAAAATAGCTAAATATATACAAAAAAGGAAATGTAAAGGGAGTTCAAACATTTCACTTAAAAAAAATCAAACACAAAAGAAGTAATGTAGGAATTGAGACATAAAAGTGTGATGCAGCATATAGAAAACAAAGAGGAAAGTGACAGAAGCCTCTCCTTATCAGCTACTTTTAATGTAAATGGATTAAACTCTTCCATCAAAACAGATTTGTAGAAGGAGAAAAAAAATGATCCAACTATATGCTGTCTATAAGGGACTCATTTTAGATCCAAAGACACATGTTGGTTGAAAGTGAAAGGATGAAAAAGGATATTCCATGAAAGTAGTAAACATAAGAGAGCAGGGGTGGCTATAGCAATATCAGATAAAGCAGACTTAAAAAACAAAAAGCTAGATGTGACCTGTAAACCCAGTGATTTGGGAAGCTGAGATAGGAGGATCACAAGTTTCAGGCCAGTGTTGGTAACTAGTGAGACTCAAAATAAAAAGAAGTACTGTGTTTAATTCCCAGTGCCAAAAATAAAAGTAAATTTAAAAAAGTAAATTTAAAAGTAAATTTAAAAAAGACCAAGAGGGATATTGTAAATTAGTGAAAGGTTCAATACAACGAGATAAAATGATTATTAATGTTTATGCACCTAATGACAGGCTATCAAAATATGTGCAGCAAAAATTGACAGAATTGAGAGTAAATAATTCAATGAGAATAGTTGGAAAGTTCAATAATGAACAGCCAGACAGAAAATAAGTAAGGAAGTAGAGGACTTGAGCAACACAACAAATTCATCAGATCTAACTTGTGTGCTGGCCCCCGCCCCACCCAGCATGCTCAACCCCAAAGCAAAAATATACATATTTTTCTCACGTGCACATGGGGCATTTTCCAGGTTGGACCACATGGTAAGTTTCAATATATTTAATAATATAAGTCTATAATGGATGTTCTCTGACCATAGTGGTGAGGTAGAAAAGGATAGTCAGTCAAGAGTAGCGAAGAGACAGTAAAGATGGACAAGAGGACAAGCACAGAGCAGCTGTGTTAACATGCCCCCGGCGTATAATAACACTGTTCCTGTTTCTCTAAGGGTGTAAATTTCCATCTGGAGGAGAGGGACTGTGTAATCCAGCATGCCCCCAACCCCAGGACAACTGAAATATCAAGAACCGATTAACAAAGGACACAGCCCTAGTTAACAGTGAAGAACCAATCAGGAGGAGTTTATCAATTTTTCCAATGTGTGTTTGAAAGAAGAATACTGCAGGACTTAAATGGCTCTCTGGTTCCTCCCAACTGCTTTCAGGAGTTCTGAGTCTTCCTTTCACCTTCCTATCAGTCAAGTCCCTGCTTACTTGCTTACCTTGGCGGTTCATGGTGTTTATTCTTGGACTCCATGGAACACGAACCCATTACAAATTCCTGCAGGTGACAATGGGATAAAACTAAAAATCAGTAACAAGGAAAACTAGATTTGTGGAAGCTAAACAATCAGTGAACCAAAGAAGAAACTATAAGAGCAATCAGAAAAACCTTTGGTGAATGAAAGTGAGGACACTATATAGGAGTATTTATGGGACACAGCAAAAACAGTGCTCAGGGGGGATATTTAGAGGTATAAACACATTAGAAAGAGAACTAGAAAAAGAAGAACCAATTAATCCTAACACTGACAGAAGAAAGGAAATAATAAAGATTAGAGCAGAGTTATGGCAGTCCTCGAAAAGTTAAAAACAGAATGAATATGTGATCCAGCGATTCCACTTCTGGATGTATACTAGAAACAATTGAAAGCAGGGTCTTGAAGAAATATTTGTACACCCTTTTCATAACAGTGAGACCTGGGCAAAGGACAGGTAGCTAATAATCAAAGGGAAGGAAATGGGTGGATAGCACTTCCCCATCAATTGGTTGCTAACACCTCCAGGAGAGGGAAAGAATTGCACTTTCCAACACAAGGGATTACCCCCCCTGGACAGCTAGGCATGAGAAGAAAGGAAACCTAAAATCTATAAAGAGGCTAGACACCTCCATACCTATGGGCGCCAGCTCTGGGTCCTCTCCTCTCCGGAAGAGAGGACTCAGAGAGAGCTCTCTCTTTTCTGTTTTGAACATAAAATTTACTTTCTGCTCTTACCTCTGTGAATCTCGGGTATTTAACTTCAAAACCAGGGGAACAAGAACCCAGTCCTGATTTTCAAGACTGGTGTCAGCTAGGTCATCACTGAAAGGCAAGTGACTCACCCAAGAGGGAGATTCAACCAAGAAATTTTATTGGGGGACTGCCTGAAGGGGAAGAAAAGGAGAGAAGGAGAGCAGAGAGAAAGAAGAGAGCAGAGAGAGGAGAGAAAGAAGAGGAAGAGGGCAGAGAGCGTGAGTTTGCAAGCTTCTGCTTAAGAAGGGTTGCTGTAGGCGACTTGGCCTGTGCTGATTGGCCAGGTGACTCAGGAACGGCAAGCGAACACTGTGTCCTACAGGGATTGGTTGAGAAAACCTTTGAATTTGGCGCTCTTCTGAGAGGAGTGGTGTTCTCCCTAGACTTAACTTCAGTGGGGAGTCTCCCACACACCCAAAAATCACCACGGTAAGCTCCTTCATACCTCACATCTTTTTAAGGTGCATGTTCTGTCTCTTTCTTTCTATGGGACAATAACTGGGCACTCATCGGCAGGGCACTTATTAGATGTGTGGAGAGAGGAACAAAGGGTTGAAAAAACTGAAAGATTCTGAACGGTGGCAACTGCCCCCTGAATTACAAAGCCCCCCCCCCCATAGGGTATCTTATGGTGACTGGTCTATGAAGCGGTGCTGAGTGAATGCCCCAGTAACACATACATCTGGGTACTGCAATCTCGTGCGCTTCCTCCTCCCAAGGATACCCCTCCCCTTACTGATCAGACTCTAGCTGTTCAAAGAGGGACATTTTACATGGAGTGGTATATAAGGAAATGCTTGGGTTCCCTTTGTTCGCATATTAAGCCGAGACAAGCCTATAGGGATTCTCCCCATTGTTGTTTTGTACTCCTGTGTGCTTTGCTAGCTTCTTTGACTTAAAATAGGAAGATTTATATCCACACCCTTTTCAATTCACCTTTGCCTAGATTCCTCTGGGAAAAGGGAGTTAAATGTTTAACAACCACTAGATGTCTCCCTCTGGAGATTCCTTTTGCCCCCGRGGAGTGTAATCTCTTTATTCCAGCCTTTACCACTAATGTTTTTCTGCTGTCAATCATGGTCTCAATACAAATTCTTATAGAGAATCATGGCCATCAAAGGGAAACATAAATTTTAATACCATTCTACAGTTTAGCCTTTGTTATATAAAAAAAAAACACCAAAATTGCACCTAAAATATAAATCAGATTCAACTTTGATCCTTTATTCTAAGTGAGGCAGAATCCACCCCCCTTAAAAAAAGGTTCATTAACTAATGATAGCCTCAACGCAGACAGATCAAAACTCATTACAAGAAAGACTTGTAATGAAAAACTCCCAGGGTTACAAGTCACATGACAAGGGTGAATAATCTGAAGTCTTGAGTTTTTTTTCAGGGTCGCCCATGAAAAAGCACAGGGGTGGTGACCACACTGGTAAAATAGCAATTAAATCCAGAAGTCATGCATGGAAGGAGGGGTGGAAACTGCTGGGTGAGAGAGGCTCCAACAGGGGAGAGACATTCTCTAGCCAAAGAGACAGTTCCTTGGCGCAGACACCTATGTTCTAGTTTCTTTTCTTTGTTTAATTTTGTTGTTCAGAGGGGAGCTCATCCTCAAAAGTATTAGTGGGAAATGACATCTCCATAATTTTCTGCATTCAAACCTGGCATGATTACCAATTGGAGGAATGAAAAATGGTCTCCAGAGGAAACAAACTATAATACCAGGAGAGAAAAAAACCTGAAGAGACTGATTTTACATAAGAAAATGCCCTATGTATGAGGTTTTCCCTTTAAAGTTCATAATAGTAGCTTTTTTTTTTTTTTTTAACTTGTTAACCTTCTGCCGGATCTCTCTCTCTCTTCAAGGCTTGCATCTGAAATGTAAGCTGCAGAGGTGATTGTCCAAAACAAGTTTGAGGGGAAAAAAAGGTGTCACTTTTATATTAAAGCTTCTCTGGGACCTAATTAGGTGCTTATATTATCTGTTCTTATATTCTATCACCCTGCTTTCTTAACAAGTTTCTCCCTAAACACTATAGCACAGAGAGGAAAAATGGA